TGATATGAACTCTTCCACAACTTTCCTTTTCGTCCAAGGAACATATAAAAACTAACCTTTAATGTAGAAATTTGCTTTTAAACTGCTTGCGGGTTTGTTTTTTATTAAAAAGTAATCTTTATTCATTATTAAAATATTTTTTTTTAAATCGGATAATATTGCTTGTGAATTTGTATCTTTTTTTTTAATTCTTTCTTTTTGAAATTTTATTAAAAAAAATTTTTTTTTTGAATAAAATTGAAAAATATAACTTAAAACATTTTGTCTAATATTAATATGTCTATATTAATATGTCTAATATTAATATGTAACTATTAAATTTAAATTAAATAGTTTATTTTCTACTTTTTAGAACAAAAAGATTATATTTTTAGCAAATATTTTTGCTATATTTTATTAGAATTTAATGTTTTCTTAAGTAAGATTTTGAATAAATTCCATTATTTAGAATAACAATATCTATTTAAAATACAAGTTTTATTACTGAATATATATTGTAAACAGGTTTTTTATGCATAATTACCGAATATAATTTTGTACGAATACTAACTTGATATTGAATTTATTGAAGAGATCATAAATCATGGGCATTGGGTCAACGTAAAAAAGTCTTTTGGATTTATGAATCAAAGTTTGAATTATTTGGAACCAGAAGATGTTTATATGCTCAATGATTGGTTGGTGAATGTGTTAATGATATTTGTTTGAGTTATTCATTAAAACACGGTGGTGGTAATGTCATGATTTGGGAGGGTTCAGAGGGAGAGTAAGTTGGTGATTTAGTTCAAGTCAAATCAACAATGGATAAAAAAGTGTAGCATAGTATTTCGATTCATCATGCCATCTAGTATTCCTAATAGTGGTAAAGGATTTGTCTTTTATCAGGACAATGACCTTAAACAAACTTCTAAATTATGTTCAAATTATTTGAAGACAAAAGAAAAGCAAAAAGTGCACAAAACCATGACTAGGCCTCCACAATCACCTGATATAAACCCTATAGAGAAACTATAGGATGAGCTGGACAAAAGGATATGCATAATGTTCCAAACTAATATAAAAAGTTTTTGGGAATGTCTCCAAGATGCCTGGAAAAACTTAAGTTTCAAAACTTACTTTTTTAATACCAAATCTCTATAAAGCTGTCATCCATGCTAAAGGTTGTCATATTGATAAAAGTGAAATCTTATTAAACTATTAAATTAAAATATTGTTGATAAATGTATTTGTAATAAATGATGAATGAATGAACATAATTTGTTTTTTATAAATAATTCACACACTGACTTAAGACTTTAGCAAGCTAGTGTATATATATTTTATGCATAGAATTCAATAAATTATAGAACAAAGAGTGAATTCAATAAATACGGCTATGTATAATTTATTGATGAATGACAACTATCTTACCAATTCTCTATCTTACATCTTCTTGTATTATCATAAAAATTACAAATACAATCAAAAAATGCCAAATTATGAAAGCTCTATTTTAATGTTTTATTTCAAATTTTTATGGAGTCATGTAAAATATAATTTCAAAATTAACAATTTTTTTTCATCTACTAAGTTAGAAAAAAGTGTTATCACATTGTGACAATGACGGTCTTGTGCCCACTTTTTTTTGAACAAAATTTAAAAATAATTAAATGTGGTTATACTGGGGACCAAAAAAAAAAAAAATATAATTAAAATTTTTTTTTTTGGTCCCCAGTATAACCACATGGATACTTCAATATTTCAAATTATCACTTTTATTATGGTTCATACAGCTATATTAATAAAAAACCTAATTAAAAAAATGGATTAGTTGAGAAAAAATATTTTACAAAAGAATTTTAAAATGTTTTATAAAACATTTATTTTGTAAAATAATAGTAAAAGTAAAAAAATCAGCTGGAAGTAGTCATGGAAAAAATCTGTTAGAAAGTAGTGTTGTCACAGTACCAAAATTTCAGTATTCGGTACCGATACCAGTAAAAATCCACGGTTCTCGGTACCAATTTCGGTACCAAACCAAAGATTAATTTAGACTAAATTTGCCAATAAAAATTTAGGAATGATTTAGTAATGTACTGCAGAGTTAAAGACATGAAAGTGTCTGCAGTTCTACTTGTCCAAAGATCTGTTGTGCAGCTGTAAAATGATTTGTCACTGAGATGCTGGATTATGAGGTCTCTGGTGTCATTGTACATGCGGGAAATCTCAGTGTACAAAAAAAAGTTTCGACTTGGAAGCTGGTATTTTGGGTTGAAATGATGGAGCATTTGTTGGAATCCACATTTTTGAACTGTATAAATGGGCACTTTATCAATACATATGAATTCAGCAACAGCTAGGTTCAGCTTTCTTGCCTCAGGTGAGTTTTTGTCATACTTTTGTTGCCACTGAAAAGCTTCTTTAACTGTTGCCTGTTTATGAGTTTGCGGGGGTGTTCCATGGTCTTCCTCAGCTTGCAGCTGTAAAAGGAAAATATAATAAATATACTTTATAAATATAGAAGTCAAAAATGGGCTGAGACTGAACAAATGAAACATTAGTTTTTCTCTAAATAACAAACCTCAGCTTTTATAACAGCCTATATAATAGCCTATATAAAAGCCTATATAAACAATTTTAATAAATAATTAGTACTTGTAAAAAGATTAAATATTTTAAATTTTGTTACAAAATACTTTTTGTATAAAATTGTTTAATCCTTTACACGGTAGGTAATTACATAATTTCTATTATTTACCATGGAAGTAAAAAAGTAAAGGATTAGAAGGATTTTCCCAATAATTAAATATAATATATGTAGTTTTATTTATTTTATAAGTATGTATTTTTTATAATAAATTTAAAACTATTTCTATAACTATATTTATTTCCATTTTTATAATGCGATAAAAACCTTTAATACTTTAATCGAAAAAACTATACATAAAACTTTATTCGCTAAAACGTTTTCTTTGATAAATATTTTTTATTTTTTTGGAATTTTTATATTTATTTTTTTGAAGAAGGAAAGAATCAGCAAAAATATATATTTATATTATCTTTTACTAAATTATAATTTTTTTTATTAAATTAAATCGTTTAGAACTATTTTTAATATTAATTTTATTAACAACAACGACTTTATTCAAAATATTGAACGTTGTTCAAAACTTTTAATGCTTAAACGTTTTAATTCGAAGTCACTTAAAAAGTTACATTTCGCTTTTGAAGTCACCGATTTTATTTTCTCTGTCATTCTATTAAAGTCATTCTATTAAAGACGTCAAAATCTTTTTTACAAAAGACTTTTTACAAATAACTTTTTACAAACGACTTTTTACAAACGACTTTTTATGAGCGACTTTTTAAAAACAACTTTTTACAAACGACTTTTTACAGAAATACTTATTAAAAGAAAAGTCTTAACAATAGGTTGTAAAAAAACGTAAAAAAAGTATATATTTTTTTAATTTAATTTTTAAGCTTATTATTGTTATTTTAATCTTTCTGTAAAACTTATTTTGGGCTGTTTATTTCTATCCGACTGGTTCAGACATTCAAATTAAAATATGATATATAATTCATAACAGAAGCTCTAGATTTTAAATTAGTTTGAAACTTACCTGCTTGAACTCTTTCGTCAGATCTGGGTGTCGGTCTTTGAGGTGTTTTATTAAGTTCGATGTGTTTCCTCCTTTTGAGAGAAAACTTCGGCGACATGGTTTGCAAATTGGGTTTTTGATTATCAATGATATTCCCCTTGTCATCAGCCACAAATCCAAAATATTTCCACACATAGCTCTTTCCTCCTTTTTTCTCAACAAGTGGATTTAGAGCTACCACATCAGCTGCACCACCGGTTGCCATTTCTCAGCAGTTTAATAATAAGGACGCGCTACTGGTAAGTTTCAAACTAATTTAAAATATAGAGCTTCTGTTATGAATTATATATCATATTTTAATTTGAATGTCTGAACCAGTCGGTTCCTACTTTTGAAACTAATACTAAAAATTATACCTACTTTTCTTTTTGCTCTTTTTACTTTTTTTTTTTTTTAATTTTTACCTCCCAATATAGACAAACTTTTAAAATATAGACTTTTTAGGTATTTTTTTGGTCTGCTTTTAAATACAAAAGCATAACAATTAAAAAATAATGTATTCCTTTTTTTTTTGTCAAATAAATAATCTCTACAAAGTTTATTAATTATTATTAAGTATAATTTAGTTAAACTTTATTCATTATAATATTATACTATATATATTATATACTATGATAATTAAACAAAAAGTTAAACTTATCTTATTTTTTTGTAATTTTTCATATTTTTTTACTATTTTTTGTCAGGTTGCTTCGATTGTATAATTAAGTTTTAATACTTTATCTTTATAAAGTATCAACCACAAGTCAATACTGTAAAGTAAACAAAAGTTACAAAAATTTAACATTGGTTAATAGTAAGTATGGAGACAAAACAAAGTTTGAAAAAACCATATTAACTTATAGTTATGAGCATAATTTATAACGATAAAATAAATTAGAAATTTATTGAAATCAATCAGCAGCTTTACCTTAAAAATTATGGTCTGTTTAAAATTATAAAAATCTACTGTAAGCTCTAAATGCTAAAATTCTTCAAAAGTCAATCTTTTGGGCTCAATAAAATTTTAACTCACATTAACTTTTCAAAAGACCAACACATTTTTACAATCAAGATGAAATATTTAGAGGTTTATTTTTTATATAAAATTAAAATTTAAAAAAGAAATCTGAGGTTTAATAGGGGATTTAATATGAAATAACTCAAGAAATAGTACATACATACAAATATATATATATATATATATATATATATATATATATATATATATATATATATATATATATATATATATATATATATATATATATATATATATATATATATATATATATATATATATATATATATATATATATATATATATATATATATACTATTAAGTGAAGAAAACAATAATAAAAAAAAAAGCAACTCTACTTGTATCTGTTTTGATATACCAAAATCAGCAAGCTTGCAATTCCCATATAAATCTAACAATATATTGGCACCTACAATAATATTAAAAAAAAATTAATTTATTCCATTAAATTATTTAAATGATTTACAATTTTACAAAAAAACTTAAAAAATGATTGTTTTGAAAAATTTTGTTTTAAAAAGCTGCTAATCATTTATGTAGGGAAGACGTGGGCTAGTTGACAGCATGAGTTGATAAAGTTTAACTTCAAAGCCTTTCATCAGAAATGACTAAAAATTACATAAAAACCTTTTTAACTGACCACTTCATCTTTTACCAGAATATTGTTAATATTTGCGCATGGGAGATTTATGCGTTTTTAGACAAAAACATAACTTTTAAAATTGCCTTCTTTTTAATTTACAAAGAAAATATTTGTATAAAAAAAAATGTTGAAAAAATTACAAAAAAAAAAAAAAAAGTTTCAGTTACAAATGGTTCGCTATTTCCAATCAATTTTTTTTTTTTTCAATAGTTGCCGTTTTTCAGGTAAGTTTGCAAAATTTTCACCGGGCAACTTTCAAGTTGTTTCATAGCATTTTCTATTGAAAAAATATATATTTCTATAAAGTTAATTTTTTTTATTTAGTTCTAATTTTCAACAATATTGAAAAACTTATTTTTTTTAAAAAGTAACCCATAAAGTTACCTCACACCAGGGTAAGTTTGCTAAATTACTCCAATGTGAGTTAAGTTGGAACTTATGAACTTTTTATTTTTGAGGCCCCAGAAGGGCCCTAAAAAAGTGTTTTTTAAAATGAATGCAAGTTTAAAATTTTACCTGAATTTATACTCTTCAAGAGGCTTTAAAATTTACAAAAAATTTTGCCATTAGGGCTACAGAGCTCAAAGAGTAAAAACTATGGAAAGAAAGAAATAGGGAAGACCGAGGCAACTAGCCCCGGTCTCCCTTAATTCACACAATTCTAGAGATTTCAAAATAAAATTTCACTGCTCTTGCTTGATATATTACAGACTTTCAATAAAGTCTGGCCAGCTTTACATGTAAGCCCAAATCATATTTGCTAGTATTTAAAATTAAATCGTTTTATTCTAATAGCAGTATTCAAGTCATTCTTAATGAACAACACTCTCTGCTATTTCCAGTAACCTCGACACCTCACTTACTTATGATACTTGCTGAAAATCTCTAAAGTGGGTATACTTGCTGATGATATGACTATATATTTTTAAAAAAAGGTCACATTCAAAATTGGCCTTGAGCAGATCAATTTTGAATGTGACTTTGCTTTTGAGATAGATTTCCCAACTTTCCTTAATTGAAATAAGACCTTTTTAATTACTTCGTATTTTTTATGTTTTTTTTTCTGTTTTTAATTAAAACTTGTATATAAAGTAGCGAACAATAGCTCATTGCTTACATTCATCACAAAAGTAATACCATTACTTCCTATTAGTAAAAATACTCAAGCAGATTATCAAACCTCAAAAATCAAAATATGCAAGAGTTGACGGCATATTGGATGTTTTAAAACGGAATAATTGATAAGAAACGAATATGAAATTTTAAAAGGAAAAATGAATAGACTAGTCAAGTTTGAGGTAAAGTTAGAAGTAGAGGATGGCAAACCGGATACGATTATCACATTTAAGATCAAACTAGATTTAACCACGTTTGATGGTAAAATGGTTAATGCCCTCACTAACACTCTGTCCTCCCAGTCATATAATTAAAAACTATTACTGGTATGTGATTCCTCTAACTGTTCATAAACTCTTGGAACATGGTGTGCAGATATCTGAGGCATTAGAACTGTAAATTGTTTGCTACTCTGAAGAGTCACTAGAGGTTCTGAATAAGGAAATTCGCAAAGCTAGATTGAAACATACAGATATAAAGAATGTTATAAAAAAACAGTATCAATACCTCTTGATTAGAAGTGATTCTGTAATATCAAACATTTTTTCAAAAAATACAAGTTAAGAAATGGAAAAACCCTTACCCCTAAAGTTTTATCCTTGTTAATGCTGTAATAATCAAATAAAGCTTTTTTATTAATACAAGGTTTTATTTTTTGTTTTCTCGAAAGAAAAATTAGATAAGATAAATATTTATTTTATATTTTAATATATTTTAATATTATATAATATTTAGTTGTTTTTGATTTTTTGAATCAAATTTTTCTTTTTAAACAAAAATGTTTTGGTTTGAAGAATTTAATCTTTTTAAATTATATTCTTCAAATCAAAATATTTACTGATTAAAAAGAAAAATTGGAAAATTTTTCTTTTTAATCAGTAAAAGACTGTAACACGTATACGCATGTGTAGTACGAGCCTTAAAAAAATATGATAAAAATATTAAAAAATATGTAGTATTTTGGATCAAGGAATCCGATTTTTTTATTTAAATCAAATTTTTCCTGCGTAATTGACACTTACACTCATAAGCACGCGTTATAGGTACATATAAAAATTATTTTTAATAGCAAATTTAAATTTTTTGATTAAAAATACGATAGTATTGATATATTATATGTTTATATATGACAGTTATATAATTTTTGCTGTTTTTTCACCTTTCTAACTCACTGTGCGTTGGATTCTCAAAATTGCAAACTGAGAAATAGTCAATTTTAGCAAAAACCTTTGTAAAATCTAAATAAAATAAAAAAATTTCACTAAATTTCTCATAGTAGAATAAATAATGAACTAGTCTCAATATATATACTGACTGATGAAATTTGTGGAGAAATTATTAAGTATGTATCAAGTTTTTTTTATTGTCTTTTTTTGATTTTTATGATTTGTAGTCTTTTTTTTCTTTGACTTGTAACAAAATTGATAGCTAAAAATAACAACAACCCTAGAAAAAGAAAACAGTACAAATAACTTGCACTTTTTTTTTTATTAATTTTTCTAACATTCAAATTTAATTTAAATTTTATATTTTCTTAAGATTTTGTTTCCTTTTTTAGTATTAGTTTCATTCATAAGTTCAGCTTCCCTCCAAATTATTGCCGCAGTCAGTTAGCCTAAAAAAATTATTTCATGTGTGGACAGACAAGGTTGCGATCGCACACCTTTCCTGAGAATGCCTGCAACACAATCAACATTTCTATACTATTGAATGGCAACTTTCTCAATGAGTGTTCTTATTTATGTCTTTTTGGATTATTGTTCACTTATAACTTCTCATGGTAATCATATATACAATTAATTGCAAAGCTAACATCTGTGAACGCTGCTTCTCTTTATCACACTTGCCGTTATCTTGATTCCACCACAAATAATTTATTTGATCCTGATTCCACCTCTACAAATATTTGTCTTTGAATGGAATACAGTTATTATATTTGGGCTGGTCCTTTTAATGATGCTCTTTCTCTTTTAGACGATGTCCAAAAATGCATTGTAAATAAAGTTAGACCAGCACTGTCTGCCAAGTATAAGCCTCTCTCTACCATCCTCATAAAGTTTTCTTTACCGCACTTCAACTATTTGGAACTCACTCTTACCTTCATGTTTTCCTGACTCATGCAACCTACAACTTTTTTGAACAATATTTGGCAATTTTTACTTTACAAAATAACTTGAAAAATGCCAAAATAAAGTGAAAATAGTCTTCTGTCAACTGTTTTCTTGTTCTTTAACTCTTTAAGCACTAAACTAAAAACATTTTTTAATATTCACAAAAGCACTGAAACATTCTTTAATATTCACAAAAACACTAAAACATTCTTTAATATTCACAAAAGCACTAAAATATTCTTTAATATTCACAAAAGAATTGAAACATTTGCAAATATTTTAGCATTTTCTAACAATTTTTGATTTTTTTGTACTTCTATTTTTCTATGCAAGCAAAAACATTCAAGAAAGCCTTGTTTATAATTAAATTAAAGTTTTGGCAAAGAAACTATCAAGTTTTTAAAAATCATTAGTCTTTTTTTAAATGGCTCTGCAATACAACATTTTGTACAATAAAATTCAACTTTATCCTAAAATCTTTTAAAACAAGATCATAATATTTGGAAATACTTGTATTAAAAATATTTTAAAAATCTTCAAGTATCAAATGATACAATATTGAAATTTCTTTTATCAGAAAATGTTTTTATCATTGACTTAAAAAAAAAATTCAAATTTATCAAACCTTAATTAATGTGTTTGTCAATATAAGTTTAACTCAGCATTCGAGTCTTGTGGATGACTTTAATACTGTGATATGAAAGAAATCATTTGATAATCTAAAAGATTATCATAGATACGTCATATTCAGCATTGGCTTCTTCGTTTTCTAGTAACACCAAACTTGTAACTACCAAATTAATAGTAGTTGCTTGTGGTCTTGTTGGGAGTGAATTAAAATGATTAAAAAATATATATATATTTGGCATTTTATTACTCATCAAGCTCCTTTTTATGAAATATTACTCAATTAAGTCTGGGTTATATTTAAATAATTTAAACGGAAACTCCTTGAGGTATGGTTTGAGGAGCCAATAAAACTATTAATTAAAATGATAAAAAAATTTAATGATAAAACTAACTTTTAATATCCCTGTGTACAATATTTTTATTGTGTAAGTAATCCAATCCACAAAGGATTTGATAAGATTTTTCTGATGCTGTCTTCTCATCTAAAGCTCCTTCATTTGATATTTTATCAAAAAGAGATCCCTAATATATATATATATATATATATATATATATATATATATATATATATATATATATATATATATATATATATATATATATATATATATATATATATATATATACATAAATATATACAAGTATAGATATAAATATAATATATATAAATATATATATATATATATAATATATATATATATATATATATATATATATATATATATATATATATATATATACTGGTGTCCTAAGAAAAAACGCAGTAATCGCAAAAATTGAAAAATCGAGATTATTGCACCAAACGTTTTAACATCGTTTTCTGTGTAATAACGCTCTATATAAAAATATTGTGGTATATTCCGAAGTCATCAAACCCATAGTTCATTTTGCCGTAAGTTAAAAAAATATAGTGTAATACTTAGTAAAAACGCAGCATTATCGCAATACAAATTAAAAATGCAGTATTTGCAACGTACGTACTGCATTTTTTCATAGTATCATTGCTTTACTGCTTTTTAACTTGGCAACACAGACAAAAACGTGGGTTATCTATGACGAATACGGTGTCATTGCAACTGCAAGCGTCATCTGATTAGTGTGTGCGTTGGTTGTTCGTTCGTGTTTTCGTATTTGGTGTTTCTTTTTTTTCGGTAAAGATTATTTTTATAGTGAATTATATTTAGGACTATTCCATTTATCGTAGAGTGTTATAAAAATCATAAAATGTTGTGTGATATTTGCAACACTTGGATGTCAAGGACTCAATATATGCTACATCGTGCTTCAGACAAATGTAAATCTTCATTGTTAGATGTAAGTGTTTTATTTATATATTTCCGTAGTCTCAATCTATTTTATGTATCTAAGGTTATGTGTATTGTGTTTATTGATCATAATAATAAATATTCTACAAATTTCTCAAGGTTTCACTATAAAAAATCTACAAATAACTGTGTAAATACCTAATGTATGGTTCTTCTTGGTTATGTTTTACCCTTTCTTTTACAGGATTCTAGAACAGTTGTATCTGAAGTAACTGTTGATAAAATGGAAGTCGTAGTGTATGAGGCAGAAATTATGGAGGATAGAGGAGATATTGGTAAGAATATTACGTGTTTTTTTTATTATATGATAACTTGTGTGACATTTTTTATGCAGATATACAATGCATTAAATTATCAGTTTTAGATGAGTCTGTCACAACACTTCAACCTTCAATGGACGAAGATGTTTTAAAGAGTAGAGTGGATGTGGTGGAAAATGGAGAAGAAATTGGTATATCTATTATGTATATTTTATATAACATATAAATTATATGTATAACATAGGTTGTACCGTGTTCTGTACTTAAACGAAGTAATAATTAAATTTTATCTTGTTTCAGTGTTAAAGGAATCTGTGGATAAACCATTGGACGAAGCTGCATCTCCATCGGTCCAATTTACTAAAAAGGGAACTATACGAATTCGCAGAAGTAATTCTTTAAGTGTCAAAGAAAGAAAAGAACGTAAGATGCAACTATATAAAGCAAAGTATGCACTAAAGCCAATTGTTGATTGTTGCAAAAAAAAATGCATTAGCAAAATAAATGAGGGACGACGTATTGAAATTAACGCCCAATATTTAAAATTAGGCTGGAAGGAGAGGAAGACATTTATCCTCAATACATGTGATCGCATGCCTGTAAAGAGGAAAAGTGTTAAAGATGGTGCACGAAAAAACACCTGGAAATACTTCTTCAGTAATAAAGACTCAATCAAGCAGTCCGTGTGCAAGAAGTTTTTCCTAACAACACTAGGATACAAACCAAATAATGACCGTGCAGTATTTGAGGTCCTTAACAAAACTCCAACTGCCGCAATAGCCCCATTAGCTGATGGACGTGGCAAACATGTTTCGGATAGGAAGTATAAACATGACGATTTAATAGATGCGCACATCGAATCATTTGAACCTACTGTATCTCATTACAGGAGGGAACATGCTCCTATTAGAAGATATTTGCCAAGTGATGTGACCATCACCATGATGCACAATGATTTTACACACAAATACCCAGAACAACAAATATCATACGAATATTATAGGTTAGCTATAAAGAAAAAAAATATTTCATTTGCAACTTTGGGCCATGAAGAGTGTGAATTTTGTGAAAAATTTTGTTTACACGGTCACGATGCAGATAATTTAAATAATGATTGTGATGATTGCCAACAATATATTAATCACAAGATAAGATATGAAGAAGCAAGAGAATTATACAAAAAGGATGCGGAGCTCAATGATGGCAGCATTTTCTCTGTAGATTTACAGAAAGTCATCATGCTGCCACGTTTGGATGCATTTAAAAAAGTTATATTTACAAAGAGGATAGTGGCTTACCACGAGAGTTTCGTTCCTCTTGGGAAGAAAGCACATGGTGTTCCCATGGCATGTATATGGCATGAAGGTGTAACTGGGAGGAACAAGGAGGACATTGTTAGTACATTTTATGCTTTTTTTTTGAGGCAGAGGGACTCGAAAAAGATTACACTTTGGCTCGACAATTTTTCGAGCCAAAATAAAAATTGGTGCCTTCTGTCTTTTTTAGTATATATTGTAAATAGTGATGAAGTAGATATGGACGAAATACAACTAAAATACTTTGAGCCAGGACATACATATATGAGTGCCGACAGTTTTCATCATCAGGTGGAGCTCTCCATGAAGAAACAAAAAGTTTACGATTTTCCTGATTTTTCCAAAGCTGTACAGAATGCTAATAAAGGGAAGGTGGATGTGAAAGAAATGACATTTTCAGATATATAAATGTGGAAAGATAACAAATCCCAACAGAAGTTAAAGAAATCTTCTGAAAAAATATATCTGAAGAACATTGTAGCAGTGAGAACACGCAGAGGTAAATTTACAATGGAATACAAAACTTCTCATACAGAGGAGTTTACAAAACAATTAGACTTCCTCTGTAAGAAATCATCAACAAAGAAAATATCAAAACCTCCACAGTTGGACAAGCCTCGTGGGGTGGCTCAAGACAAAATCGATGATATTTTGTCGAATTTATCGAGTTTAATGCCAGCCAGCAGGAGAATTTTCTGGAACAATTTAAAAAATATATAATTTCATTTATATTATATATTTTTTCAATTATATATGTATTTTTTTATTCTAATAAAACGTTTTAAAAAATCTAATTTACTTTATCTACCTTATACACACTTTGAATGAAGTTGACAAAATAAGAGATGGAAAGACTGATTATTAATTTGATAATGGGTAAATTGTGGTTTTTGAGCCCCTAGTGCACTCCTAACTAATGGTAAGAGAATGGTATTATTTGATATTCGTGGAAAAAATATGTTGCTGGGTTGGACTGGTTGTTATAAATATCATATTTGTTGGTTGTAAGTATTCTTTACTCAAAATTCTTCCTATTAATTAGACGCAGTCTAGCTCTATGTTATAACTCCACTATTAATTAAGGTTTGTTTGGAAACCATTGATTATCAAGCTAGATTGTGATTAACAATGCCTTTTATAAAAACACATTGATATTTATGAAAAAATATATATTGGAGTATGCATGCATTTTTGTATTGATTATACTGCGTTTTTATCTAGGATGACGGCTGTGAAATATTGTGTAAATTAGCAGTGTGTGATTTTTCAGCCTATATATTGATGTTTTGGTTAAATATAAATTTTCATTGAATAAAGGAAGTATTTTGTATTCATAATCTATGTGGCATGAAAGTCTAATTATTATATTCAAGTAAGGTTCACACAAAATTTAAAAGTGGCTTTTTCTCAGAATGTCATTTTTGTTGTTTACTGCGTTTTTACTTAGGGTGGCAGTATATATATATATATATATATATATATATATATATATATATATATATATATATATATATATATATATATATATATATGTATGTATGTATGTATATATATATATATATATATATATATATATATATGTGTATATATATATATATATATATATATTTATATATATATATATATATATATATATATATATATATATATATATATATATATATATATATATATATATATATATACACTTTTGCATGTCTCTTGCATGGCATCAAAAAATGTTTCCCATAAACTGTAGTTTTAAAGAGTGCGTTAATAAACCAGACCAGAAAAAGTTTTTTAAATTTAATTTTTTTTTTTAATTGATAGACTGCCTGGCCAAACCAAACCCTCAGTCGATGTAGCAGCACTCTCTTGCGAGTCAGGCTATTTGTCAGTCGTTTTAGCAGCACTCCCTTGCGAGTCAGGCTATTTGTCAGTCGATGTAGCAGCATTCCCTTGCGGGTCAGGCTATTTGTCAGTCGATGTAGCAGCACTCCGTTGCGAGTCAGGCTATTTGTCAGTTGATATAGCAGCACTCCATTGCGAGTCAGGCTATTTGTCAGTCGATGTAGCAGCACTCCGTTGCGAGTCAAGCTATTTGTCAGTCGATGTAGCAGCACTCCGTTGCGAGTCAGGCTATAAGATAGTCGATGTAGCAACATTTACGCATGTTTTAAAAATGTTTTTTATTAAATCAATAACAAAAACACCACTAATTAAAAAAAACTTTCTAGTCGTTATAATTGCGGTTTTTAAAATTTTTTTAAAAAACAATTAAATTTAATGTACTTCCGCATAAATTAATTGCTTTGACATTTCGATGACAATCAAAAACAGCTTAAGAGACGAGGTAATTAAAATTGTAGTCGAAAAAGACTTTTTTTACATTAAACGACTCTTTCGACTACACTATAAGGATATATATATACATATATATATATATATATATATATATATATATATATATATATATATATATATATATATATATATATATATATATATATATATTTAAACAATTTTAAAAAATGTATTCTACAAAATAAAGTGCTCAATGTTCTTAAAAGAACAGAGCAATTATAAATTAGTAGAAAATCACTTAACAAATTTTTTTTTTCATTTTACACTGTTTCATCAAC